AGCCATGTTACCCTCCAGGCTAAGAAAATGGTGCTGGGTTCCTGGAAATGTGTGAATGCCAGTGTTAATGGGGAAAAAAACTCATGTAACTTCATCTACTTTAAAAATAAGTATAAATAGTGACTTAAATGGAATTGGCCAACTGACAGGTGGGAAAACTGTTTTACTAGCATTATGTCACATGCTAAACAGATTTTAAGAACATTGTGTGCCTCTCATAAAGCAAAAGTACACCCTAAGTGTCTAGTGCAGTGCACACATGTATGCATGTAGACCACCTATGCACAATTAGTGACAATTAGCATCTACTTAATGTTTATTATTTTCAAAGCATTTTCACCTATTTAATTCTCACAGATCCCAGAGAAAAATCCCTTATTCTTAGATCATGCTAGTCAAGAGAGAAATGCATGCAACTAGATACTGGTGACATATTTGGTCTCCAGGGTTTTAAATAGTTATGAGATTAGGAGATGGTGGGAAGACAATATAGGGAGGAAAGCATAATAGACTGAGACTCACTACCTGGTTCAAGGTGTTAGCTGTGTGTCCTTGAGCAAGTGTCTAATATTTTTTTATTTGTTCCTAAAAATGAGATTGAAATAGGTGATCACAAGGTCCCTTTTAGCTATAAAAGTCAATGTCTATAAAATATAAAGCAAAAACTACCCATGATGTTTTTATACCAGGAGTATTTCAATCTTCTAACTAGAGAATGCTAGTAGATATGATGCTATTTAAAAATTAGTCCAGAGATAGATGGAATTGTTAAGAGACACCAGGAATGTCACAGGTTTTTAAAATCATTTATGACAAATAATGACCTTCTTTCCTTAAATCTTCTCTGGAGTTGGCAGGGCCATCCCAATGATTGGAGTAATGGTGTGTCTACTTCATACAGAATTCTAAATATCCTGAGTAGAGTATTCATGGTTGACTAATTAAAGACATGTCCTGTCAAAATGCTAGAATACATGATTAAATATTGTTGAATCATAGAGTGATTAGAGAACTTCTAGTCAAATCCTCACATTTTATAACTGGAAAACAAGGTTCATACAGAAAAACAGAACCAGGACTCCTAATTCCCAGTCTAGTTTTTTTGTGTTTTTTTATCCTCACCTGAGGACATTTTTTCACTGTTTTTAGAGAGTCAGGGAGAGGAAGAGAGAGAGAAGCATCAATGTGAGAGAAAAACATTGATTGGTTGCATCCCATATGTGCCTGAACAGGGGATCGAACCCACAACCTAGGTATGTGCCTTGACTGGGAATCTAACCCACAACCATTTGGTCTCCAGGACAATGCTCCAACTGAGTCACATTGGCCAGGGCCCAGGCTAGTTATTTTCACCCTTCCTTATGGCATTTGAGATATGGCTTCAAGAACACTTCTAGTTTGTATTAAACATGAGCTCTTCCTTTCAGGATACTTGAGGCCACTTGTTTGGTCAGAACCTGTCTTAGAGAAACTGCTTTGATTTCTAACTGGACAGGAACTGGGCCCCCAAGCTGTCCTAACATGATGCCACTCGACACTGAGAATGACAATGTGAATATCTGAAAACTACAGACTGAATATGATCTGCCATAATATATGATGGCTAAAGATAGCCAATTCATCTTTGTCCAGTTTTAAATGATTTAAAATTATAGGAAATTATAATCTAGCAGTATTCTGCCTGATAACATCACATCACATCTGGAACTCATTGCTGGATTTAAATTTTAAGACACTAACAAACTGGAGGACATCAAACGAGGACAAGCAGAATGCAGAGGGCTCTTTAAATGTTCTCTTAAGTCAGATTGTTCATTGTCCTCCAGTTTTCCAATCTTTCCCTACATTTATCCCTCCCACAAATTAGTGAGATAGGCTAGTGTGATAGATTATCCTTGCACTAGTGACATAGTTAAAAATGTTCCTGCCCTATCTCCCATCCTAAATATTTAACAATCCATGGCTTCTCCTCATAATAAGCAATAATGTGCAAATGTTTGCTAAACAAAAGTGAATTTTGTTTCAGAAGTAATAGGAATAAAGAATAAAAGCTACAAGGTGGCTAATGCAAGTTTAGATGTGCATAAAAAAGCTATAAATTTACCAACACCAGGAGAAAATCAAGTGAAGCCTAGGAGATCATTTGTCAGGGATTTAGTTAGGTCCAACAAGTCATTAACTGCCTATTATATGACAGACACCAAGTGTCACAGTGGGTGTCAAAGATGAATAAATACTGGTCCCTGCCCTTAAGAAGCATAAAGGGTAGGAAGGTTGACAAATAAGCTGATATCTGAATCTGTAGAGGTATATACAAGGTACATAAGTAGTACCAGGGGTTTGAAGAATGAGTAAGAATTTGTCAGGAGGCTGGGCAAGAGTGGTTCAGGCAAAAGGAATATACATGATGTGTTTGGCAACTTACCGGTAGTAGGTATCAATGTAGAACAGATTCCTTCTTTGGGTATGAGATAGATGATTTCTAAAGTCCTTTTGAAAATTCAACTTGTAAGCCAAGCCCTTCAGAGGTACATAAGATCTTACCATTTCTTTCTTTTTTATTGTTGTGCAAGTATAGCTTTCTCTTCTAATAATTCTCTGGGAGGTCCTACTTAGGCTAAATGCTTTAAATAAAATGGTACCCAGTACTCTACAATTGGTATACTAAAACAGTGAGGTGTGACAGTTGCAGAACTCATTTGTTTAAGCAATTCTAAGCAGAAGAGAATTTAGAATTAGAAGGTTTGAAAAATGATCGTTAGTTGGCAAATCAAATCTGTTTATCTATTGGTATGCTTAAATTCTAAACTCTTAAACTTAATTTATGAGAAACAGCCTCTTATCCTAATAATTAAAACTTAAGCCAATTTGTCATTCTTTGTCCTCTAACCCTGTTTTCTCTCACCATACTTATTACATGTTCCTTTTCTTATATCTTGCCGTAATGTTAGTTCCTTAAGGGCAGACATTATCTGTCTTGCTCACTGTATTCTCTGAGCCCAGACGAGGGAGGACCTGACACCTATTAGAGATTTCACTTAACTCATTGAATGGATCTTTAGCTGAAGAGATGGCCCTCACAATGTGAGCACTAGATACATACTTCGTAAGCTGTTATTTGGCTGCATGCCCTTTCTATCTAACTAGGCCTTGCAGTTCTGCTCTGCTTTCCATGCAGTTTAAGTAGACCTTCTTAACCTTTGCAGCACTTGACATAAATGCCATGATTAGTGAAAAGTAAAGATTTCTGCAAGATTTGCTAAATACTGCAAGGGTGGTTGGAATCAGGGAAGAATGTGTACCAAGTAACTTCTCTAGTTTCTTTAGCCCTGCCCCTGGCATCTCTCTACACTTGGTCAAACAGAATCAGCTTCTTTCATCTTCAATGATATTGACAAATTCTAAATCCGTTGTAAAGTTTCTGTACTACCACCACAGATTAGATGAAAGGACAGTAGAATAGCTTCAAAATGCTGAAAAATGGTTCTTTTCCATTCTACACCCAGTATCTACCAGAAGATACTGAATCGCCCTGGCAGAGGTTAAGGGATACTTCACATAGCTTCTCTCACTCTGGGACAAATGAAAGGACTGTGAGAAGGCTATGATATGGGTCTAGACTGACTCTCTGAGACTAAGATGAGGTAATTTACATTGCCTCCTGGTGTGAAGATCTAGAGAGAGCTACTGAAAGGGCACTCTCTCTCTCCTTATGCCACTCTCTATTTACAGTACTGTTATCAAGACTAAACTTGGAATTTGTTAGCTTGGAACTTGACTAAGAACTTGATTTTTCATTTTTGACATTTGCTCAGTTTGACTCAAAGTGATTAAACTGAAAACACTGCAATCACCTCTGATTTCCCCATCTCTTTCATTTTCTAGTAAATCACCAAGCCTACAAAAAATTTTCAATTTGTCTTTTTTTATGGCCCAAGGCTTATTACATCTGGACTATTGTAACAGCCTTCTATGTGGTCTCCATTCTCTCTCTCTCCTCTAATCCTTCCTATTCACCATCACTATGTAATTTTAAGAACACACAATTTCATCTGGTGGTCCTCAATTAAAAAAAAAAAAGCACTGCCACAACTAAAAATACTCAAACACCAGTGACATCATGTTTAATAATTACACCTCGGCCTGGAGCTTTTAACATTCTACAATTTGACCCCAACTCTTCTTAATGTGATATAATCTATTATTATTACCATTATCACATAATCTTGACTTCTCTATTTTAGACAGGTTAGTGTACTTACCACCCTCTTAATACACCACTCAACCAGCCTCTGAATTTTGTGATACTATTTATGGGATAAACATTTTGAGGATACTCATAGGATTATTCAAAGCCTATACATTCTTTAAGATACAAATGAAGTTTCTTCTCTTCTAGGCACCCCCCACCACTTTTTGGCTTTCTCCTTCTCTAAACTTCTATGAAACACAATTTCTCTTCCATTTTGTTAGGGTCATATTCCACCTTGAAATTTAACTGAACTCTTATGTTTCTATGCCATATGACCTTAAATATGCATTCAGGATAAAAATAAATAGAAGTGACAAAACTTTAAGAAACCATATGGTAACTTAGGATGTTACCTGTATTTTAGTTGATCACTTAATTTTTTTTAAGAGTTGGAGTACTTTCCATCTTAAATGTTCATACAGCTCACCCAAAACACTAGCCTATAGCAGAGAATCCCATATAAAAAACACAATGATACTAAAAAAACAAAAAGGAATCCTAAAAGAGAAACTCTAGTTTGAACATAGTAAATTGCACGCCAGGACTCGCCTCTAATTATCCTTTAGAGAACTGTTCCAACCTGCACCCTTTGCCCAGCAGGGTAATAAAAGAACTCAAATTGCTAAGTACTAAAATAAAATACTATTTATAATATGGCCCTAGTTATCTACAACTCTCTTCTCTTAGCAAATGTAAATTTAAGATGACCTGTTTTTATAAGCTCCACAGTATCAATATATTCCAATAATAAATTATTAAATTTATTTTTTCACACATAATTAATATAAAACATCATTTCTCTATACAAAAATTTAAAATATGTATTCCATGTACCCAAGTTCTATTCTTAAAAAGAGATACTCAATTTTTTTTCCTGAGTTCACTTCTCTAGAACACCGGACCTTAAGGATTCCTGGAGCCTAGCAATGTTGGCATCCAGTGCTGCAAGGCCATTTCGGAAGTCTTGTTCATCACGAGAAGTAAATGTTGAAAAAGAAGAGATGCTCCAGTCAGACATCAAGTCGGAATTTAAAAAGCTACCATCACACACAGTACTACTTTTCACTTGAAAGCTGCTGCTCTGACAAGTGGAAGGGCCGTGACACACAGCCGGTTCCTGTGGCCCCTCAGTGGCAGCAGAGATCTTGCAGATGGCTTCCTTTATTTTCTTGAGGAGCTGCTTGTCCTCCATTTCAGCTGTTGTGGAAAGTTTTTCATGTGCATGTTCTGCCTCCTTTTTGGAGGAAGAACAAACTCCAGATGCACATGTTCTATTTTCTTTTTCTGAGACAGGTCCACTGTTGCTGAGCAGTGGTGGTGGAGTTACACTGATCTGTGGCTGGGGGGATAATCTCTTAGATAGCGGTGATTTCCTTTTAGAAGTACTTCTGGCAAACGGAATATAAATTGTATTATCCAGATTACAATCACCTTCTATTAAAGTTGTAATTTTGCTCTCCTCATCAGAATGCTGTTTTGAAAGGGTAGAAATGATTCCAGGGGCCAATGCTTCCTCCATGCTCCTAGGGTCACTATGTTGAGGGACTTTGGAAGGCAGAACATTTTCATAGGGCCTGTCTCGCACTATGTTTTCCTCATTGTTAATTTCAGAAAGTGGCTCTGAATGAGTAAAAGTAGGATCTGTTTCTAACTTATTTAGGTAGCTCATTATGGAAATTTGAGCAGGGACTGGGTCATGTTGACATTGTTTTTCATAAATGGTCAGAAGTGATTTAGTAAGATTATTTCCAGGCTTGCAGCGAGCAGTGTCCATACTAAGATCTGAGAGAAGCTTTGCCATACTGCTTTGTAAAGTTCTGTTAAAAAGAAATTTAGTACATTAATTAGTTTTTTTACCCATTTCTTCCATTTACTCATATATGCCTCATCTTTAAAAGAAAGGATTAGAGGCAAGTGCCTGGTTTTTAATATGGGGAAAAGCAACTAAAAGCACAGTATTATAGAATATTCTATGGAAACAGTAAATTAAAATAATAAATGATAAAAGACCTTGGTGTGCATCAAGTCTAATATTATGTCTAAAAATAGAGGCTTGGAAATTTTTTTCTCTTATGGTATGGAGATGCTTTATTCTTGAGAAACACTGCAAAATAGTAAACACACTACTCATTTGAGAGTGGATGCTGTTAGTAATTAAGTTATTAATCTACATTTCAAATATATATTCAAAGGCCACTGGAGTAATACTAGAAAAAAAGAATGGTTAGAAAATTACATGGCATAAATCAGTATATGTAACAACTAGGTACCAGGAAAAATGTGGTTTAAGGAAAACCACAAAGGGTTTGAAGTCAGACAAAAAATGAATCCAATCCTAACACTATCACTAGCTATAATCTGGGACAAGTCACTCAAGCTTTCTGAATCTCAAGCTCCTCAAATGCTAAAGGAAGATAACCTAGTTTAGAATTACAGTGAATATTAAATAAGGTAAAATAATAAAACATAAGGATAATGTGTTTAATATATTTTCAGGCTAAATGGTTATTCCTTTAATGGCAGCTTTTATTAGTAGTCCTATTAAAGCCATTTTATACTAAGTCTGTTTGAATTCAATGACATTATGTTCATATTGATAAGAAATATACCAATCTAGACTTCTGGTCAAGATGGCAGAGTAGGCAGACATGGCTTGATTCTTCACACAATCACATCAAAATTACAACTAAAATATAGAACAATCATCACTCAGAACTGTCAGGAATCGAGTTGAGTGGAAGTATGACAACTACAGGATTAAAGAAACCACATCCATGCAGACTGGTAGGAGACGTGCAGATGCAGAACAAGCAGGTCTCTCACCCACTTGTGGTTAATAAAAATTTGAGAGGGATATCTCAGGAACAAGAAGTCTCAGCTCCACACCAGGACCCCCAGCCCAGGGTTCTAGTGCCAAGAAGATAAGTCCCCACTACTTCTAGCTACAAAAACCAGCACGGATTGAGTCAGTGGAAGAAACTGCTGGAACCCCAAGTAGTTCCACTTAAAAAACCCACACATGGACTCACCTACTCAGATTCACTCCATCTGAGCTCCAGCACACAGGCAGCAGCTTGAAGAGCACCACTGGCATACTGGGAGAGGCTGAAGTGTCATACATCTGGGCAAGCAGAGGCCATTGTCCCCTTTCTGGGTCCTCCTCCCTCAGAGCCATGGAGCTGGCATGCTGATGCCATATTTGAGACTCCATCAACCTGGCTAACTAACACTGTCTGAGCTGCCTTGGAGATCCCCAGAGACTCCACCCCACCCAATTTACTAGCTGACCCAAGCTGCTATGCCATATGAATGGCTGGTTTTGGCTCACTTGGTACAACTTCCTAAATCCTCTCAAATAAGCAACAGCTGGCCTTAAGTGAGTCCCAGGCCCAGCACAAATAGCAGCAATCTCAGATTGCTTTATAGTTCTGGAAGGAAGGCCCCCCCAAAAAACACAGGTGGGGGCTGACCTTGGCCTGCACCACTGGGGAAACCTCAGGACTAGAGCACCCAGTGGACAGCAACAGACCACGCTACAGCACCACCACCCTGGAGGGCAGAGGTTGGTAGTAAGTGGTCACAGCCAATCCTTGAAGCTACTGGCCTGAGTAAATCCCTCTCATTGATCTGCCAACAACAACCAAGGCTCAAATACAAGAGGAGGGTGTATTCAGGCCACACGAGGGGTGCACCTTGAGTACCGAGCTTGGGTGACAGGATAGGCTGTGCCACTGGACCCTACAGGACACCTACTACATTAGGCCACACTACCAAGACATGGAGTCAAAGCAGCTCTACCTAATACACAGAAACAAACAGGGAGGCTGCCAAAACGAGGACACAAAGAAACATGGCCCAAATGAAAAAAAAAAAGATCAAAACTCCAGAAAAAAGAGCTACCAGTAAATGAAATGGAGATAAGCAATCTACTCATTGCAGAGTTCAAAACATTGGTTATAAAAATGCTCAGTGAACTTAGTGAGGATCCCAACAGCATAAAAAAAGACCCAGTCAGAAACAAAGGATTTACTAATTGAAATAAAGAACAATTTGCAGGGAAACAATAGCAGAGTGGATGAAGCTGAGAATCAAATCAATGTTTTGACACATAAGGAAGCAAAAAACAACCACTCAGAACAAAAGAAGAAAAAAATCCAAAAAAAATGAGGGTAGTATAAGCAGCTTCTGGGCTACTTCAAGAGATCCAACATTCACATCAATAGGTGCCAGAAGGGGAAGAGAAAGAGCAAGAAATTGGAAATCTATTTGAAAAAATAATGAAAGAAAACTTCCCCAATTTAGTGAAGGAAATAGACATGCAAGTCTAGGAAGCACAGAGAATCCCAAACAAGTTGGACTCAAAGAGGACCACAGCAAGAAACATCATAACTAAAATTAAAAGGGTTAAAGATACAGAGAGAATATTACAAGCAGCAAGAGATAAACAGAGTTACCTACAAAGGAGTTCCCATAAGACTGTCAACTGATTTATCAAAAGAAACCCTGTGGGCAAGAAGGGGCTGGAAAGAAGTATTCAAAGTGGTGAAAAGCAAGGACCTACAACCAAGATTATTCTATCCAGCAAAGCTATCATTTAGAATGGAAGGTCCAATAAAGTGCTTCCAGACAAGGTCAAGTTAAAGGAATTCATCATCACCAAGCCATTATTACATGAAATGTTAAAGGGACTTATTTAAGAAAGAAGATCAAAACTATGAACATTAAAATGACAACAAACTCACAGCTATTAACAACTGAATCTAAAAAATAAAAACAAAAACAAACTAAGCAAACAACTAGAACATGAACAGAATCATAGGTGTGGGGATCACTTGGAGGGTTATCAGCTGGGTGGGGAGGGGGAGAAAAGGGGAAAAAGTGCAAGGATCAAAAAAAGCATTGTTGGTAGTAACACAATAGACAGGGGGAGTTTAAGAATAGTATAGGAAAGGGAGAAACCAAAGAACTTATACACATGACCCATGGACATGAACTAAGCAGAGAGGGAGTGCTGGAGGGAAGAGGAGTACTGAGCAGAGAGGGACAAAGGGAAAAATACTGGGACAACTGGAACAGCAGAATCAGTAAAATGTACTTTAAAAAACACACACACACACCAATGTAAAAAAAGATTAAAAGCACATCAACAGGTAATTTTAAATGATTACAACTAACCAATAAGGAAGTTTTAAAAGTTCAACTTTTGTCCCTGGCTAGGTAGCTCAGTTGGGTAGAGCATCTCAATCCAAAGTTGTGGGTTTGATCCTGGGTCAGGGCATGAACACATAAATAAAGAAAACTGTATCATTCATCCATCAGTAAATGATTGGATCAAAAAACTATGGTACATTTACACAATGGAATTCTACGCAGCAGAAAGAAAGAAGGAGCTCCTACCCTTTGCAACAGCATGGATGGAGCTGGAAAGCATTATGCTAAATGAAATAAGCCAGGCGGTGAAAGACAAATATCATATGATCTCACCTTTAACAGGAACCTAAACAACAAAACAAACAAACAAAATATAACCAAAGACACTGAAATAGAGAACAGGCTGACAGTGACCAAAGGGGAGAGGGGAGGGAATTTCAGGAGAAAAGGGGAAGGGTTTGTAGGATCTAGTATAAAGGACACATGGACAAAAACTAGGAGTGGGGGGAATGGGAGAGAAGTGGGGAGGGATGGGTGGGTGGGCTGGGATGGGATTCAAAGACAAAAAAACTATACTTGAACAACAATTAAAATAAAATTTAAAATAAAAAAGAAAAAGTGGTAGGAGTACTAACCCTTATCAGACATTGTGCTAAGTCAGCCCACAAACAACTTGACAATCATTTACAGTTCATCTAATAGAATAACTGGCAGTCATGAGGCAGGATTCACAGTAGCATAAAAATAAAGGGTCCTTGACAACAATGGAAAAACACTGGCAGGAAAATTCTTGAGAGTCTTAAGAAAAGGAAAATAAAACACCTAAATATCTAATTGTTTAGATAGTCTTTTCTAAGAGCAGATAATATACAATAATTAATGAGCTTTTTCAGTTTCTATGCTTCTGTGTTAGGGTAAATGTTAAGAAACGGGAGAAGTTCCAGCCAAGATGGAGGCATAGGCAGAAGCCCTTCACTTCCTCGTACAACCAAAAGGAGGATAACAACCAATCTAAAATCAATAAACAACCAGAAGCACCACAAAATGAAACTGCATGGAACTCCAACAAACAAGGAATTAAAGAAAAAATTAACCAGAACAACCAGATCAGTAAGGTGGTGGACCATACAGCCGGCTCAGAAAAGCTGGGGTGAGGTGGAGGACTGGGTGGGCAGGCAGGGATGGCTGTAAACGAAACTGAGACTCAGTAGTGGCTATGGACTACGGTGGTTGCCTTGGTGGGAGAAGCTCCCAGTCTCACAGAATCCTTTGGAAAGGGCACTAGAGACAAGCAGGTGAGCTCCATTGTTCCCTCTCTGGCCCCTCCCCCACAGGCAGCGTTGCAGTGCACCAAGGAGGGTTGCCCTGCTTTGGTGAATACCTGAGGCCCTGCCCACTTACAACTTACCAGATGCGCCAAGACAAAGAAATAAGGCCCAAATGAAAGAACAGAGCAAAACTTCAGAAAGAGAACTAAGTGATGAGGAGATAGCCAACCTATCTGATGGAGAATTTAAAGCCCTGATAATCAAATGTTCAGAGAACTGATTGAGCTTAGTTGAAAAATGAAAGAACAAATAAAGGATACCCAAAATGAAATAAAGCAAAATATTCAGGGAACCAACAGTGACAGGAAGGAAACCAGTACTCAAAGCAATGATTCGGAATTGAAAGGGAAAAATAAACATCCAAATGGAACAGAATGAATAAACAAGGGTTCAAAAAAGTGAAGAGAGACTTACAAACCTCTGGGACAACCTGAAACATTTCAATTTCTGAATTACAGGGGTGCCAGAAGGAGAACAACAGCAAGAAATTGAAAACTTATTTGAACAAATAATAAAAGGAAAACTTCCCCAATCTGGTTAAGGAAATAGACTTCTGGGAAGTCTAGGAAGCCCAAAGAGTCCCAAAGAAGTTGGACCCAAAAAGGAACACACCAAGGCACATCATCATTAAGCTACCCAAGATTAATGATAAGGAGAAATCCTAAAAGTAGCAAGAGAAAAGGAGACAGTTTCCTGCAAAGGAGTACCCATAAGGCTGTCAGCTGATTTCTCAAAAGAAACCTTACACGCAAGAAGGGGCTAGAAAGAAGTATTCCAAGTCATGAAAGGCAAGGACCTGCACCCAAGATTACTCTATCCAGCAAAGCTATCATTTGGAATGGAAGGGCAGATAAAGTGCTTTCCAGATAAGGTAACTCAAAGGAGTTCATCATCACCAAGCCACTATTATATGAAATGTTAAAAGAACTTATCTAAGAAAAAGAAGGTCAACACTATGAACAGTAAAATGACAACAAACTCACAACTACCAAATGAACCTAAAAGAAAAGAAAAATAATGAAAACAAAAACTAAGCAAACAGCTAGAACAGGAACAGAATCAGAGAAATGAACATCACATGGAGAGATTTCAGTGGGGAAGGGGAAGAGAGGAAAACCAGGGGAAAGGTACAGGGAAGAAAAAGGATAATTGGTAGGCAAAAATAGATGAAAAGAGATAAAAAATGGTATAGGAAAGATAGGACTCAAAGAACTTATATGTATAACCCATGGACATGAACCAAGGGGGGGGAATGCTGCAGGTTTGGGGGGCAGGGCAGAGGGGGGATAAAGGGGGAAAAATTGGGAAAATTGTAATAGCATAATCAACAAAAAATACTTTAAAAATATAAATAAATAAATAAAGGAAATGGCTCCAGTTGCAAGCAAATCTTTCTTCATTCCTAACAGACACTGGAAAAGGCAGACTATTTTGAAAGAACATGCAGGTACAAAGGTATCTTCTAGAAAGGCAGAAAAACCTCTCAATAATGAGTCATCTTCTAAGAGAAGCTGTCCTTTCAAAGCAGTAAGCAAGGTGGAAGAGGGAATCCAAAATCTTGGCTCAGGTACTAACTTAGGCACCAACTAGCTATGAAAGTCAGATAAGTTCCTTCATTTTGGGGGTTTCCATTTATGCTAATTTCTGGAATAATTATACTATCATTTATTTAGAAACTATTTTTACACTTTTATTATCTTCACAAATGCACCACCCATGTTAAATAGTTTTTAGTCCATTTTATCCTTTAAAAAGATGTTATCTCCCTACAAAGCACTAGAATATGTTTTTTGCTTGGTGATATGTCACTTTATATATGTGATCACAAAGTCACACACACATATTTGGAACATAATATGCAGTTTGTTGAGTAAGTGAATAAGCAAATAAATCCATCCATTTATCCATCCATCTCCCAGGTTAGAAAAAATGCTAAGATTTAGGCATGGAGTTGTTTACCAGGGATAAACTATTTTATCTAAGGCCATGACATGTGCAAAACTAAAAGAAAACATGGCTAGGAATTAAGAGATGTGAGTTCTAGTCCTAGCTCTGTTACTAAATTTCTATTAATATTTAAATTCCATGGTCCCAGTTGTCCCCATCTATGAAAATGCAGATATTAAAATCTTCCTTCCATAGACGAGGACAAATAAAACAATACATATGGAAGAGAGAAGACTTTTAAAAAAAAATCAGCTTGATTTCATACCCATAAAGAAGCTGGGTTTTGTGGTATGATGAAGAAAAATTAATGAGAAGAAAAGTAAACTCCCAGGGACTAGGCCCTCTGCTTCATTTTCTGCTTGGGGCTGAGAATCAAGCACTTAGAAGGGCAGAGACGCTCCCAGTGACACCCAAGTGACCACACATGGACCCTGACCATGTTGACTTGCTGTCCTGTTGTGCTTTCCCAAATTGACCATACACCATATATACTTCTTTTCTAAGTTTAGTGAGATAGAATTTATATACTATATTTAATATACCTTTTAAAAACATACAACTTAGTATTCTTTAGTATTTCATAGAGCTGGACAACCATCACCTCTATCTAATTTCAGAACATTTTCATCACCTTGAAAAGGAAGTCTATACCCATTAGCAGTTACTCCCTATTCTTCCCCTCTTTCCTCAGCCCCTGGCAACCATTAATCTACTTTTTATTTCCATGAATTTCCCTATTCTGGACATTTCATACAAATGGACTCACATGATAAGTTGCCTTTTGTGACTGGCTTCTTTTACCATAAATGTTTGATAACTGAGTTTTCACTCAAAAAGTATTTTCAGAAGAGATGTTTTTTCTTTGGAAACTTTATAAAGACTTTTTTGAGAAAGGAAATTCTCTCAATTACTTTACTTTGAATGAGAGTGGTATAAGCCAACATTTAAAAAACACTGACTAAAGCCTAATTAATTATAGCACTATGTGGAAATAAGTAGTGTCTATTGTTTTTCCCAGTTAATAATGTTTGAATGAAATTATTCTTTGAAATATGAATGTGGACCAAAAGCAGTATTTCTATGCTAACAGAGCTTATATAAAGTGATTTCAAATGTTTACAAAACTAAATTAACAAATTAAATATTACATATATATTACTATTTTATCTATTTTCCAGAACGTTTATAATTCAAAACGGATCCTCTCATTTGAAATACAAAGGAAATTGTTTGATATTCAGGATTGCTTTACATTTGGAACTATGAACTTCCAGAATCATTCAAAGGCATGGTCAGATCTGAAGATATTCAGGCCTAAAATAACTGACTTCTCTTCTGCAATCTTAAAAAGCACTTGAAAATCCAATTTTTAGCAAATATTTAAACAGAAAACTAAACTTCATTAGTATGTATCATATGAAATTGGATGAGGTGATTTTGAGTAAAGACTTATTGAAGAATGTAGGAATCTTAAGATAGCTGCCAACTCTTTCACTTTACTGATGAATGAGGCTCAAAGAGACTTACCCAAGATCTTATGGCATGAGGGCTTACTATGGTAAGGGCTTCTCGTGTTACTTCTTTGTCCCCCTATCAGCCTTATTCATGTCTCCTCTTGACGGTAAAGTTTAGAGAGATTAATAACTTGCTTAAAGTCATATAGCTAAAACATGGCAGAGCTAGGATTCCACTCAGGTCTCTCTAGCTGTAGAGCCAGACAGTTCTTAACCTTTTTGGTAAGCAAGTCTTTAGCTCCTTATCAGAGCCCTTTTCCTGGAATCACGTGGTCTTAAAAAGCATTTATCAGGTTCGAAGTTTCTACATTAACAGCTGGGACAGAATTTTAAAAAGCAGAAATTAGCAAAAACACTGTCAAAATAAGGGAAAGAGAGCAGTCTAAAATTATTTCAAAGTTCACAGGTATATCTATTGAAAGGAGTAAGTTATTTAAATATTCAATCTTACCTCGTTAAGTCTCTCAGTCGAGTTACCTCAGCATCACGCTGACGTAATGTTATTCCCAATATCTGATTTTCCTTTTCAGTAGCTGCTAACTTAAACTGGCAGCTCTTCACATTGACTAAGGCTTCCTCCAATTCTAAAACGACAAGTGAGTTTCAGTTTCCTTATTCCTTTTAAAAAAATGTGACCATAACTACAGCTCAAATACATACCAATTTTAATTCTAGTTGTTTCAATGTCAAATTGCTGTTTATTTTCAAGTATAGTTTGATCTTTCTCTTTAAATATATCAGAAAATTTTTTGTTTTCATCTTTCTGATTTTCGATCACTTTTAAAAGCTCTTCATTTTTACTTTGTAGTAATTCCTGGCTCTTTAGTGACTCCTGTAATTGATTCTGCAGTGACTTATTCAATGATTGAAGGGAAAACACTGTAAGACAAAACAGATCAAATAATTGTTTCCCCAATTTAAATAACTACAAACCTAGGAAAGAGCTCTTTTTAGAAGAGAAAAGGCTTAAATTTTATTGATTTTGTTTAACAATTATATGCTTGGGCAGTTCTATGTTAATACTAAACTTATTTTTAAAAATTGCTTGGCCAAAGCCATGCCTTTCTTCTCCAATTGATATTCCGGGTATTAAAAAATATTTTAACGAAAGAGTAATACATGCACAAATTTTAAAGAATCCCAACACCACGTAACACCAGTGATACCTATGATTCTCAATGAAGAGTCTCACTCCCACTCTACCTCCACATTCCCCCTAGAGGCGACTGCTATTAAATTTGGTATCTTTTTGGAAAATACTTTGGCATAAAACAAATATTTGAATCATACACAGTATACCTAGAGTTTCTAACTTGCCTTTTTTCTCTTATAAGATTTTGTGTATCAGCATAGAGCTATCACATTCCTTTTAATGGCTATAAAATTATATGACAGCATCCACTTAAAAAACACAGCCTTGAGTGAAAGCTTACTATGGCTGAGGCGCTACAGTAGTATCCGGCCACTCAGTGGTGAACAACAAAGACATGCCCCACGCTCTCATGGAGCTGGTAACAAGCAGGAAACTACAAGTGGCCATAAATGCTCTGAAGCAAACGATAAATAAATGAGAATAAAAAGGGATAAGGTAGTTAGAATGGGAACTACTAACCTCCTCACTTTCCATCTTGACCTATCTCCCTCTCCTCCTCTGTACACCCATCATTTATTCAGAATGGGATCAAAACAATCTTTTCCAAAATTACACAGGTGGAGTTGAACACTTTTCTGAGATGCATGTTCTGTTGGGTGCTCATATTTTTATTTCAAATATTAGGAAAAGTAAGCCTTTGTTGTATCATGTAATACAAAAAAGTTCCCTATTTTGTTGATACATTTTGAATGTATTTATAATTTTGTTGTGCAGAAAATAAAAAAAATTTCCCAAGATCTATTTTATCAATCTTTCCTTTGTGGCATCTGAGTTTTTGTCAGGCTTAGGAAAAGTTTCCAAAATACAAAAAAATAATAAGTTCTCATCTTTTCCTCTAGTACTATTTCTTTTACTTCAAGCTCTGTGATCCATAAGAATGATATGGCAATATCTGTCAAAACTGCAACTGTATACCCAATGACTCATCAATTCTACTGTTATCTGTAAGAATGCTCACACATGTGCACAAAGACATATATGTAAGATTTTCACTGTAGCACTGTTTGTATTGGGAAAATGGGGAAATTATCTCAATATGCACCAACAGAGGACTTTAAATACATTATGATATAATCACACAAGCAGAATATCCAAGTAGTTCTTAAAACAGAAAGAAACATATTTATGTATTTTGCTAGGGAAAAACGCCCCAACATGTTAAGTGAATAATGCAAGCTGCAGAAGAATATATACTGTACAAATTTCATTTCTTTTTTTTTAAGATTTTATTTATTTATTTTTAGAGAGGGAAGGGAGAGGGAGAGAGAGAGAGAGAGAAACATCAATGTGTGGTTGCTGGGGATCATGGCCTGCAACCCAGGCATGTACCCTGACTGGGAATCGAACCTGCGATGTTTTGGTTCGCAGCCCACGCTCAATCCACTGAGCTATGCCAGCCAGGGCTCAAATCTCATTTCTAAAAAAGGAAAGCACTTACATAATTCTAATATTGCCTATTTCATCTTATGTACTCAGTAACTATTTGTGAAATAAATTAATTATATATTAACAGAGGATATGTGAAAGGAAATACAGTCTTTTTAAAAGAAATAGGAATACATTATTGGGAAGTGATGTCATGAATTTTTAATTTTTGTTTCTGCACTATTTTAAATTTTAATAATTATTCCTATTTTTAAAATTTTTTATTAAAATGAAAGTCCACTTAAGACAAAGTAATTAAGAAAGCTCAATTCTTTATCAATATTTCCAAAACCACAGAGAATTTCACATCAGCTCCTAAAGTTCTTTTACCTACATTCGAGGTTGCATTCTTGAGAACCAGATGCCTTTTTAGTTTTTCCTTGTTCTCTAAGCTGCTGGTTCAAAATTCTCAACTGCCTAAAAATAATGAAGAAACATAAATATGAATGTGAGAATTCCAAGTTCATTTAACAGTGTGCATTTGACAGTCTATTATAAGAGACAACACACATGCTGGCACCCAGGAAGAGAGCAGAAGCCCATCTCATCCCCAAAATAAGACAAAACACCAAATGAACAAAACCACACTATTATTTATAGGCCTGAGATTAAAAGGTTAACTTCTCCGAGTTTCCTTCTTTCCTTTTTTATTGTCTTATCTTTTCAGTGATTTTCTTATTATTCCTCTTTCATTTCCTATTTCTTCTTCTGTCTTCTCTGTCTTTTCATTACTGTAGTAATGATCTGGTTTTTAAAAGATCTGCCATAACTATGAACTAGAATACCTACAATGACTGACTGCTATCAGGCATCTATCTGCTTGGTTTGTCATACACTGAAAAAACTGGGAAACAAACCTATGCTTCTGGTAATTTCTTTATCAAATGGACAAGTTAATGACCCGTTTAAGTAAAGAGAATGCTAATAGGCAGCAACTTTTCCTACAAATGAGCTTCATAATATAGAGCTGCTTCACAAATATGAACACACAAAAGGAACCACAAATGTCTCCTTTCCTTCTAAGAAGTTAATATTAAGTAAAGGTTATCTCTAGTATCTTTCCAGAATTATTTATTTTTGTTAATCAATCTAAAATATCAATTTTGTTACTGAATCACATCACTTACATGTATTAATTCCAGATGGATTAAAGAACTAAACATAAAATATACAAACAAAACCAAGTTCTATACAAGTTTTAGGTGGAAATCCACATGATCCTGAAGTGGGGAAGGCATTCCAAAGCAAGACTCAAAATCTAGCAACTATCAAGGGAAAGAATGAAGGATTTAACTGTATCAAAATTTGAAACTTGTTCTAGAATTAATAGTCCGGAAGAAAATACCTTCCACATATATAACAGAAAGGTCCATACATTTAAAGAGATCCTACAAATCAGTAAGAAATGCAGTAAAAAGTGACCAAGAATAAGAATGGGCAACTCACACAAGATACAGAAACAGCTGGTAAGCATGTGACAATTGCTCAGCCTCACTAGTATGAACAAATGCTAGTTTAAGACAAGAGATATTTTATGGCCAAAGGAATGGTAAAAACAAAGGAAATAACACTTGTTGGTGAGGGAAATGTGGTATATGGCAACGAATTATCTCAACTGGTGGGAGTCAATTGGTATAATAACCATTTCAGATGGCAATTTGGCAGTATCCAATAAAATAACCTTCAACAAAATAATTCTAACCAAATAGCTGTATATGTGAAAACGTCTACAATCTTGTAACATGTAAGGATGTTCACAACAGCAATATTTAATAATGAGAAGTTGGAAACAACTTAAAATGCTACAATATTATGGTATATCCATGCTAAGAAATACTAACACACGTATTTAAAAAAAGAGACAGCCATATGTACTGACATGGAAAAATCTCCAAGTTACATTAGGAAGTAAACAAACAAACAAAAACAAAACAAATCTACAGCAGCGGCCCCTAACCTTCCTCCTCTCCACCAACCAACCAACTGACCATGGACACCATCGCATTTCTGCCTGAGCTCCACCTCCTGTCCCCCCCACCGCCACCCTGGTTGGTGGAAAAATTATCTTCCACGAAACCAGTCCCTGGTGCCAAAAAGGCTGGAGACCGCTGATCTACAGAACAACAGCATAATCCTTAACAGATTTCTGCTTTTCTAAAGTTTCCCCTTTACAACAATGGGGGGAGATCTAGAAAAGGCAGCACAGACTGGTAATCTATAACTGCAAATGGAACACTTTTGGTGTTTTCCAGAAAAACAGCAGGCACTGAAGCCTTTTATACACCAAGTATGTGATAGAAGCTTTGCTTGACAATCTTTTTGTACATCCCTGGTCAGATTTTTCTCCCCTCTTCCACAACATAGTCAATCTAAACTTTTCATCACTCATTATAAACCTCTCATCCCTACCCTCCTCTTCTCAGTAGGATACTTTCCTATTTTCACCAAAAATAACATGGTTTTGGCACAAAAATCTGTTATCTTTCTGTATAAGTTTATCCATATGTATACTGATCCTCACTTCTTTCTTCTAGTCTTAGAGAAGGGAAGCTTCTTCGACTCCCTGGATCCCATCTTCTCCTAAGCCCTAAAGCACAGGTGGCAAACACAAGGCCAGAGGGCCAAATCCTGCGGACACCTTGTTTCTTCCTTGTCTCTACCCCGCTGCATGCCGAGCTCCGTGCCCCTAGTTAAGGAGTAGTTACATTTACACAGCCCTAAAGCTACATTCAGCCCTTTGAAGGCAACTGTGAGGCTGATGTGGCCTCCGATGAAAATAAGTTTGACACCTCTGCCCTAAAGGACTGCTCTTATTCCATTCCTTTTATCTTCTCCACCTGCAGCTTCTCCCACTTCACTGGCTCATGTGCCTGAGCTAAGAAAGATAATAAACTGCTCTCATATTTAAGAAAACATTTCCTCCAACCTAATTGTACCATTAACTACTCTTCTTTTTTTTTTTTTAAAGATTTTATTTATTCATTTTTAGAGAGGGAAGGGGGGGAGAGAGAGAGAGAGAGAGAGAGAGAGAGAAACATCAATGCGCAGTTGCTGGGGGGTCATGGCCTGCAACCCAGGAATGTACCCTGACTGGGAATCGAACCTGGGACACTTTGGTTCCCAGCCCGCGCTCAATCCACTGAGCTACGCCAGCCAGGGCTATTAACTACTCTTCTTCACTCTCATTCTCAGCATTCAAGGTCAGGCTTTTAAAAATTGCCACATGATTTTAAAAAATTAAATAACAAAAGAGAATTTTTAAAGAAAAGAATAGTTACATATGCTTTTTTAAAAATATTAGAAATTATATTTAAGTATGCTTGATTTTAACAAAGGGAAAAAACTGACATTTCGGCAAATATTTTTTTAGTTCATTCATTCTTTTTAAATATATCTTTACTGAGATAAAACTTACATATAATAAACTACAATTTTAATATGTATAATTTGATAAGCTTTGACATACAATATGTGAAGCCATCACAATTATTTCTCACCTCTTAAAATGTCTTCATGCCCCACTTCACAACATTCTTTCCAATCACTGATTTATAGATTACTTTGCACTTTCTAGAATTTTATATTATACCTTTATGCAATATACAATTATATTATAAATGGAATCACACAGTATATATACTTTTAGCCTGGCTACTTCCACTCAGCATAATGATCTTGAGATTTATCCACACTATTGCATGTAACAATTCCTTTCTTTTCATTGTTGAGTGAAATTCTACTGTATGGTACTGACAAACATCTGGGTTGTTTCCTATGAACATTCAAAACAAGTACATAGCTTTCACTTCTGAGTAAAACCCTAGGAGTAGAATGACTACATCGTATGGTACCATTAATTTCTAAGAAGCTGAAACTGTTTGCCAAAGTAATTGTACCATTTTACATTTCCACCAGTAAATTATTAAAGTTTCAGTTTCTCCACATTCCCACTAAGGTGTGGTATAGGTTTTTAAATTTTAACCATTCTAGTGGGAATATAGTGGTGTCTCATTGTGGTTTTAATTTACATTTTCCTAATGAGTAGTCACAATGAGCATATTTTCATGGGCTTATTTGATATCCATATATTTTCTTTTCTATTGTATCTATTCAAATATTTTGCCCATTTGATTGAGCTGTAACAATTCTTTATGCATTCCAGATACCAGTCCCTCATCAGATAGATGTACTGCAAATGTTTTCTGTTGTTTGCCTCTCCATTTTTAGTAATAATGGCCTTTGAAAAGCAAACATTTTCAATTTTGATGAAGTACAATATTTGTCTTCTACTTACACTTTTTGTTATATTTTAAAAATCTTTCTCAAACCAAGATCACTAAGATTTTCTCCTGTTCTATCAGTTCTGTAGATTTAGCTTGTCTATTAAGATTTGTGATTTATTTCAAGTTAGTATTTGTATAGTTTGTGATAAACTTTTTTTAGCCCTGGCTGGCGTAGCTCAGTGGATTGAGCACGGGCTGCAAACCAAAGTGTCGCAGGTTTGATTCCCAGTCAGGGTACATGCCTGGGTTGCAGGCCATGACCCCCAGCAACCGCACATTGATGTTTCTCTCTCTCTTTCTCCCTCCCTTCCCTCTTTAAAAAAATAAATAAATAAAATCTTAAAAAAAATTTTTTTTAATACTATGGCTCTCCAGAAGATCCAAGATGGAGGCAGAGTAGGTGGAAGCTACACTCACCTCCCAGGACCAAACTGGAATTACAACTAAAATATAGAGTAATCAAACTGAATAACCAACTGAAGACTAGCTGATGAGAAGTCTTATAAATAAGGATTTACATAAGAAGCAACGTGGACTGGTAGGAAGGGCAGAGATGCAAAAAGGACTGGCCCTGCAAAGGTTCCCCTTGAAAAGCCAAGCTCACCAGCTGAGAGTAATCAGAGGCACCCACATAACATCTGACTATGAAAATCAGCAGATTCTGTTTGTTTTTTAAGTATATTTTGATTATGCTTTTATAGTTGTCCCATTCTTTTTTTCTCCCCTTTATCTCCTTCTGCCTAGTACCTCTATTCCCTCCAGCATTCTTCCCACCTAGTTCACGTCCATGAGTCAAGCATATCTTTGGCTTCTCCATTTTCCTAATTTATTTCTTATATTATTCTTAATATCCCCCATCTATATTGCACCTACCAATTATGCTTCTTATTCCCTGCATCTTTCCCCCACTTCCCCCCCTGCCCGCACCCCATCTCCACTGATAACCCTCCATGCGATCTCCATTTCTGTGATTCTGTTTCTGTTCTAGTTGTTTGCTTAGTTTTTGTTTTAGGTTTGGTTGTTAATAACTGAGTTTATTGTCATTTTACTGTTCATATTTTAATCTTTTTTTCTTAGATAAGTCCCTTTAACATTTCATATAATAAGAGCTTGGTGATGATGGACTTCTTTAAC